AATTGCCCCACTAGGAAATTGAATGCAAAGTTACAAACATCAATGTGCAACCTCACCTAAATGCTTAATGAACAAGAAAGCATATTTTGATGCTGCTTCCCCAGCGCTGCCCTTTGTAACACAATAATATTTGCCTTCATCTTCTTCCTTCACTCCTCTTATTGACAGCTGGCTTTGCGTGATGGTTTTGTCCTCTAGTGAAATTTGAATGACTCTTGCTCTTGGGTTTGAGTCTAGAGCATTCGAATTGTTGTTCTTAAACCATGTGATAATTGGCTTGGGTAGACCAGCGGCAGAGCAGTTAAAAGTTACATTGGAACCAAAAAAGGAAGTTTGGTTCACCGGATCCTCAACAATCCTCGCCCAGTTGTCTGAAAGCGAAGGTGAATAACTTTTACAATTGTATGTGGGTGAAGACACGAGATTCAAAAGGAGTATGGGAGAAGAGTGACAAATGTAAATAGCTGATGAGAGTATTTATAGGATACTGCTACCCATTATAATCTGACAAATATTTTTTCCCGTGCGCTACTGGTCAAAACGCATCACGTGATTGAACATTCCCCAAATAAAACCTTACGTCCAATACGGAAAATTCTGCGCTTAAAATTTGATTATACGTAAGAAATACTTTATTGTTGTTACAGAAGAAGTTACTTGTTTTTTTGTTCATAAAATCGTATCAGAGAACACTGAAAAGTGAATATCCCACGCCATAAACTGTAAGCTGTTTGTAAACATTTTCCGCTCGTTGGAAAATATTTGAAGGACAACGAACACAATAGCCTCCATTTGGCGCAAAATCGTGCTCGTATTTGTCCTTGAACATTATCTGTTCCTCGAAGCTCACAGTTTTCCTCCTCGAGCTTCGCTCTTGGAAAACTTTTCGCATCTCGGGAGATAATGTCCGCGGATAAATATACGTGCACATTTTCGCGCCAAATGGAGACTATTGTTTATCTATTTAAGGATTTTCAAATGAAGAAAAAGAACTGAAATTTTGAGAATTCACACAAGTGAGCTGTTCTTAAACACTTTCTGATAGTCCGCTTTTGCCAGCATTTCTTAAAGGATTTTTTTTCAGTTCATCCTCATCCAAAGAAAAATGATTGTCCCATGATAAAACGTGATGCCAAGTTAAGAAGTAATACTGTAGCATGTGTCTCACCTAAATCCTCTATGAACAAGAAAGTCAGGTTGGATGCCTTTTCTCCCGCAGTATTATTTGCAACGCAGTGATACTTTCCTTTATCTTCGTTCTTTACATCATCTATCACCAGTTGGCTATGAATTCGTTCGTCATCTAGGGTAATCTCAATGACTTTTCTCCTTGGGTTGGACTGGAAAGCAAGTGTACCATTGTTCTTTCTCCATGTGATGAATGGCATAGGATGACCTTTGGCGGTGCAGTTCAAGGTTACGTTGATACCAGCAATGACAGTTTGGTTCTTTGGATTATCGACAGTCTCTAGTACAAGGAAAGCTGAAACCGACAATCCCAGATGACAGAGAAAAATGTGTTGGGAGAATAATGAAATTTACTCATCACMWAAAAWMMTTTMGYAAAKRT